AGTTATGAAATTTCAATTGGCATGATTCACTGCGAGTACCGAATGACCAAACATACAAATTGTTCAGCATCAACCGATCTCGTTTCGCTTTGAAATTCATTTGTCAAAGTGTGGCATTGACCTTTGTATCGGAATCTTTCTAGGCGGGGAGAACAAAAACATAAAATTGGCACAAATCGCAAAGACCGAAGCGCTGCTAACCCACAATTAGCATGTGGAACTCGCTGATCGGGATCTCGCATTCGCATATGTCAAGATCTTCCATAATTTCGCTTCCATTCCATTTGCCCTGCTTTGCTTTTATTTCTTGACATTGGCAAGTGCAACTGTAGTGTGCAACTGTGTTTTGGGGTAAATGGTAAATGCATTTAAAGTTCTTGCACAAAAAAAAAGTGAGTGGAGTGCGAAAAGGGAGTGTGGGGATCATCGCATCTGGCTGGCATCTCCATCTCTCATCTCCCATCTCTTTGGCGCGATCTTTTTTTCTGGTTTGTTTCAGTGTCGTGAGAACTTTTTCGCGTTTCGGCGCACAGCGTGTGAATTGAAAGCCGAGTGGGGAAAGGGCGGGGGGCGTTGGGTTGCGGAAACTCGCTGGGAAGCGAAAGTGTTGCAAGTGCTGGGAAAGCAATCGGCCAACGAGCCACACAGGCAACAGCAATGGCAACATTTGTCAGCGTTTTGCAATTGGCGTGGGTATCAATCGAACACTCCCTTCTCTAACCCTCTTCAAATAATGAGAAAATTGTTTTATTGGTAATAAGCAAGATACTTTTAACCTTATGTACCATACGTATTTTCAATATGATTAATACAAAATTATTTTTAGATTTTAAAGTACAACTTATTTGGTTTAAACCGTTTTAATCTCGCTTAAAGTTAGCATACTCATTATAGCTATTAGGCTTTCAATGTATTTAGGTCTTACAAAATATGTTGAATAACTTATATCTTGTAGATAATCTCTAACATTTGGTTTTCTGTCTTTGCAGGTGAGTTTCGCTGCAGATGTCCAATCTGGGTTCTCTGTATGTCCATATGTACATACGTTCGTGAGTTGGCAATTAAAGGTTTGTTAAGCAATTAGGCAGCTGAGCTCGTGACGAAGTTTAGCTCAAATCTATTGAATGAGTGTCCAAAAAAAAATAGACATAAAAAAACCGAACAAACAAGAATCCCAAATGAGAATAAAATGCCAAACAATTGGAAATTCATTAAGGCCGCCGTATCGTAATCAAATGCTGCATTCAACTTTAAACTGCAACGCCGGTTGAAGCCGCTCAGGCAGTGGAACGCCGACAGCGCAGTCGCAGCGTGGCACAATTGTTTCGGCCCGGCTAAAACGCGACTCTCCGTTGTCGTGGCGACGAATCGGGGGATACCAAAGTTATGCATGAGGTGTTTTATGGCAAGAACGGCTAGGAGTATTTGCACAGAGAAAAATTATAATATCAGTTCGGCTTTGTTAGCAGAGCAGATGAAACTAGGCTTATATCGGAAGAAGCAATGCTATCCAACCTTTTTCAAATATTTCCTTTCTTACATTTTCACTTCTCAGAGATTATTTTGTAATTAAAGCACAACATTATATTTCGAAGTCTTGGCATTGGTACCAAAACAGTTTAATCTAGGCTTATCTCGGAAGTAGCAATGTTATCCTTCATTTTGCAAATAGTGTTGGGTGATATTATATCCCCTTTTATATCAAATAATTTCATTTCTTAGATTTTGACTTCTTAAAGATTGTTTTAAAAGTCATAGAAGCTTGAAGTCTTGTTTATTTTGAATAAAGCATAACATTGGATTTCGAAGAATTAATATTAATTAAAACGTTTACTCATATATCAAAGATATACAAATATAAAAGTATAAAATGACTAATAAATTCAAAATATATTTTGATAGTCATAAGGCATGACATTGGATTTCAAAGACTTCGTATTATGTAGTTCTGAGTCAATAGTATATAACGGATTATAGATTGACCCCTACAGATTTCTGACAAATGTCAGATATTTTCTGTTAAAAGTTGGTCATACTTTTTTACAGTGCCCTTTTGTGAGTGCAACAGATACCCAGCTGGCAGCCAATTGTTGCACTCCGCGATATTGGACAAAAGACCAACTTCCTCACCCCTTTTAGCCCTTAGTTCGGTGGTGGCGACACCGACACGCATGCGCATTCCCGCTGCCCCACCCTTTGACCCACCCCGCCCCCGCAAAGCGGAGCAGTGCGGAGCAAAACAGAAAGCAAAACAAAGCACAGACCAAAATACGGAGTTGGAAAAACTTAACGCCTGGTTGCCCACATCGGGTGTTCTTTTGGCTCCCTCACTGCCTCGCAATCCCTCGCAATCCCTCGCAAACCCTCGCGAACCCTCGATCCCCCGATTCCCCGATCCATGTGAGTGCGCTTGCGCCAACGCCAACGCAGAGGTAGATTTAGATTTAGGGTTTTGAGTTTTGAGTATGACCTGTGAACGTGCAACAATGGCACACGGGGGTTAATGGTATTTCGTACCAGTTTGCTTGCTACGACGGCCATTATGCGACCGCTTCATAACTGGAACATCGCAGAAAACCCAGCACAGTGGGCAGACGACCCGTGGATTTGCATGGCCGGCACACGCGAAATTTGATTCAATACGATTCGATTTGTGTTCGTGATTTCACAACTCGGTGCGAATTGCCGGCGACAAGGGCTAACCTTTGTACGCAAAGCATGAATAATGCTGATAAATCGAACGCTAACGAGGTTCGGCCACTGTTCCAAAGCTGTACCAAAATATCACATTTGTTCATTTTGAAAAAAAAAATCGTGAAAGCTCATTTAAATTAAAGTTATTTGATTATTTCATAATCAATTTTACCTCTTCATTGCTCCGGAAACAGGATCTATATCAGAGTGTTCCTGAAGTCTTTTCCAACCAAAATCCGGAGAAGTCAGCCCAAATTTGTTTTAAGAGATTTAAGTAGCACCCCTATTTTAGCTTAATTGTAAACTAAATTCTTAGTTGGAATGTTGAAATTGATAAAGTTCCAAAAATGTTTTGAAATTATCGATATCAACGGCGCTAGATCGCTGCTTCGGAACTAAATCGCTCTTTTGGAAAACGTTCTTCACTCTCTATAAGTTTTCTTAATTTGTGATAATTTTCTCACGTTCTGAAAATGTTCTCACTTTTTTGTGTTTGTGTCTTTGCTAACCGTCTTCAGAGATAGGTGGCGACCCAAAAAATGCTGTAAATTGCAATATAGAATTAATGTAGACAGTGGGTATTTACATGGCATCTTGCCGTAAAATTAAAATTAAATCTTACATTTTAAGATGCCAGGTTTGAGTCTGTGCTAACCGGTAAAATATAGTGGTTGAAAACCTTTCTAAACTATACCCGTTACTTTTGCCGCATGTCGAAAAAATTTTTTTGTAGAAATGGCGTAAGAACTAATTGCGTAGAAAAAATGTAATGTTCGTGTCAAGTTAATAGGATAAGAAAGGTAAAACCAGTATGACCCCAACAGATGGCGCCACTTGCAAATCCATTGGAGAAGCAACAAACTAAAAGAGGCGCCCTCTGGTGTTAACAATGATTACTTTGTTAAACACAATTTCTTAATAACTTCAGAAATAGTTGTTTGACTAGAATCTGCATGAGAAATCCCAACTCTTTGGCTCTAATTCGCGTAAAATATGTTGTTAAAGTTCTAAAAAACAGTCGAAGACAGTGATTTATTTATATAAAGTTTCAGATGTAAAGTTTAATATAATAACTAGCTATACAAGTCAAGTGCCCACTGGATCCAAGTCATGTGTCCCATTACATCAGTGAAAACGCTGGGGCTTTGGCACTCCGGGTTGCCATAGCTTACAATTCCGACCTGAACAAAAACCACTTGACCGTGATACCGAATCGCGTGACCCATGGGTCCTCCGGAGTCGCCACTGCACGACTCCCCGGGATCGTGACTGACGCAGATCTGATCCCAACGGCAATCCACCAGGTATCTTCTTCGGCATTCGCTCCGCTCCAGTCGGTTCACTCGAATAGACTTCAGGATGTGGCTTGGCGATCCGAGGGAGCTTCTGCCCCAGCCAGTGGCCACCAACCGCTGGAGTCCTTCAATCATCGGTTGAAGAGCAGGATTTGTGATCAGGCAAATTGGTTTGATGTGGACTGTGAAGGAAATAAATTATATAAATCTTCCACCTTTCCCTTCACTAATGCACTTTCTGTCTAATTACCCTTATATTCCACCGACCTTTCCAGACGAAGTAACCCAATGTCGTCGTAGCGTTCTGATCTCGAATAGTTACCATTCCGAATGGCCAAATCAATTTCGAACTCTTCAGAGGGCGGTATGCAAACAGATCCGCTGCAGTCGTGGCTGGTTGAGCTGTCATACTCGCCCAATCGCACTGTTCTGTAAAAGACTCCGGTTCAGTTGGGGTAATATTACTCCATTCCAAACCTACAAATCCTCTCCATTGCTTATGCAATGTGCAGCAGTCAGGATAAATCCTTCGAATATATATGGGGGCTAAAGTTAATAACAGATGATTGTGTCCTGGGGATTACTTACGATGGTTTATGAGCGTTCCGCCACACAGAAATTTGCCAGAGTCATGCAAGTAAGCCATCCAAGGGCTCTCTGATATGTGTGCCTGATGGCCTTCGTTTTTAAGTGCCTCCCGTGACATATAGCCGCAGTCCGGCTCCAAAAATTGTCCAGATGTTAGCTTGTTCCCTATAAAGAGACATCCTAACAACAAAATCCACCACATCGCGAAAGAAGATAAGCGAGCAAACTGAAATACAATTATATATTGTGACATTTCCTGCAAAAGCAAGAACCTTATCAACAAATTCTCGCTTATATGCTATCGTTCTTCATACGACGAGCCTTAGTGATGGACGATGTATAATGCACACTCGTGCTGTTTTTGAAGCCGTATTTTGAGCTTCATAGCTGTCACCTCTTAATACTTATCTACACAAAAGAATGTCGAATATTAAAATTTTATTAATGGAAAAATTCGACAATAAAGCCGTGACAACGTATTCTTATTAAATGACTTGTTAAAGTTTTGCTTTCATAGCTCGAACCTCCATCTGCCAACGTAAACATAAGATTTACAAAGACTTTAAGTTAAAGAATAAGCGAAAATGTTTTATATTTTTTCGAATTCATTAAAATATTTATTTGTCTTTTAAACATTAATAAATAAATAATATTTAGCATTGATTCTTGAAAAAGCCCAGGGGCTTTGAGTTATAAGATAAGATATCTACAATATATATGAAGATTAAAGTTTCGCATTATAGAAAAATTTTGCTTTGGAAAGTTTGAGTTATGGAAGTTCGATTGCCAATCAAAGTCACTCAATATAGTGTTCTGGTGACCCTCTCGATCCAACCGGCATAGGGCAGGGCATTGGTGAAGACAGTGGGTCCCAAGCAGTGACCTGAGCCATAGCTGACCACGCCGAAGAGGAAGACTCTCCTTACCCGCCCGAAAAGCATCCTTGCGGTGAGGGGACCTCCAGAGTCGCCAGAGCAAGTGGAACTGGTGCTGCTCGCCGCACAGATGTGGGTGTGATCCAGATGCCTGTTGAAGTACTGGGAGCAGTAGCCCAGTTGGTAGTGCGTCAGTGTGGTTTGCTGGAGGACGTGACTGTTTGTATTGAATCCGGTGCGACCCCAGCCTGTGGTGTTGAATGATGGAATAGTTTTCAGCACTCTCCATGACCAGTTCCAATCCCCCATAATCATGCAGATCGGCCTAATGTGTTCTGTATATTGAAATGTATTTGTGTTAAGCTCTCCTGTTGGTTTCATCAGCTCACCTCCGTACTGTACACTTCTTTCCAGCCTGAGCAGAGCTATATCGTTCCTGCGGAAATCGGTGTACTGCCCATGCACAAACGTTCTAGTCACATTGACTTCCTTGGGCTTTGGAATGCAGCCATAGTCTGTGCAATCGAGCCGCTGATTCACGTCATACTCTCCCAAGCGCACTGTCCTAATCGGATAGTTCGATATTAACTAGTCTTTTATTTTCGATTACACTTACAATTGTCGATCACTTTTGCTTCTGCAATGCGCAGCTGTCAGTACGTATCCTTAAAAATTACACAAGTTATTTCCTGTCAAGTCCTTTGTCAAACTACATACGTGGGTTGATGAGCGATCCGCCGCACTTCATTATCCCACGTTCGATTACTATAACCATCCAGGGATTGGACAGCAAGTCCGCATTACTGCCGTTAATCACACGATAGAGTCCTGCATCCGATCTAGCTGATGCGCAGTTAGGGTCCAGCAAATATGGTGAGCCCTGGATCCCGAGGATCTGTGCAAATACGAGCAGTATTGCTCCTGCTCGACCTCCCATTATACGCATCTGTACTAAAGCTCGAACTGACTGGTGAATAACAATGCCATCGCATTATTAATGCAACTTACGGTCGAGCTTATCGCTTTGGAGTGATCGAACAAAGGGATGGGTTCCATGAAATTTGTCGTATGAATTAATTCTTAGAAATATGAGGATGGATTTGTGTTTCACCTATTCTATGTCTAGAAGTCGGCTTATTTTATAGTTTGTGTAGCAACGATTTGAGACAGAAAACTAACATTTTTTCTTTTTAATTAAAAGACCACATTAATATTCACGCAATTGAGCTTTAATTATTTGCACACAAGAAATTTCAAAGGACATGTATTAGTCTACACTCGTAGCAGAGCGGTTCTTGGAGTGTGATTTTCAACAATATATTCTATCCAATCGGAATATGATAGAACATTGGTAAAAACGGTGGCAGCACGACATCCTGGAGCCCCATAACTGGTTAAGCCGAATAAAAAGGGACGAGCCATGTCGGAAAATGTCATCACTGCGCTCAACGGACCTCCAGAATCGCCGATGCAAGTTGAAGCCTTCGACTGGCCAGCACATATATGGGGCATATCGATATTCCTCCGAAAGAGTTGCGAGCAGTGATCCTTGTCGAGTTGGTATAAGTTGGCTAATTGAAGTTCGTTGCTGTTCTCCCCCCATTCCGTTTTTCCCCAGCCAGTTACATTAAACGTTTCAACATACTTCAAAAACCGCCATTGGCTATCGATGTCGGTGCCCTTCATCAAACAAATCGGTCTTATTTGAGCTGAAAATGAATAGTTTAGTGAAAAAACTCTCACATTAACTTTATAGTTGTAAGCTTTACCATTATACAGCACTGATTCAGCCATTAAAATCAGTGCGATGTCATATTCGTGGTATTCATTGTATTGGGGGTGCGAAAACATCATTGCCACGTCGATTTCGGTACTTATTAAATTACAGTATTCGCTTGTGCATTCATATTTAGGTTTGCCCCCCTTACACCCTCCTAAACGCACCTTCCTAAAAGGTATAGATTGTAATAGTATTTGGAAAACAAAATCTTCTTTATGTACTTACATGGGGTAATTGCTTTTGCAATGAGCTGCTGTCAACACAAATTCTAGAAAAAAAAATCTTTGATTAATCATATTTATCCCGTGGTAGTAACGATTACGTACGAGAGGTTATCAGCGAGCCACCACACATGTGATAGCCAATTTGAAGTATCTGCACCATCCATGGATTTCTCAATAAATCAGTACTTGTACCTCCGTATATTTTTGAAGAACTACCATGAGGAAGGAATTTCATGCACTCCGGATCTATCAAATTTTGTGCAAAAGATCCGTGAATGGCAAAAATCAGACAAGCTAGCAGCAATTTCATTTTAAACTCAATGATGTCGACCACAGCTTTTGCGTTGTATTAATACTTGTGCACGCCTCTTATCTTTGTTACACCCTTGCAGGGGGTATAATAAGTTTAGTCAGGAGTTTGCATCGCTGTGAAGCAGACATTTCCGACTCTATACCTTAATGGGTATATTCTTGATCAGCATCAGTAGGAGATTCGATCTAGCCATCTTCGTCTGTCCGTTTCTCTATTTGTCACGATATTTGAAACTATTGAATAGTTTCAATGCTTTCAAATATATACGCATTTAAATCGAAATTTATATGTTTTAAAGAATATTTTTGCAATTGCTGCAAGGGTATATAAACTTTGGCTTGCCGAAGAGGGCTTCTTCTCTGGTTATTTTATAACTATAAACAGATTGTACTTAATGGAATAACGTGTTTTAAGTATTAAATGATTTATTTAATTTATTTTGTATATGGGTAATTCTCCAACCGTAGACAAAACATTAAAAGTCTATAAATGTATGTTTTTTCACATTTTTTTATAGCGAACCTATTAAATACAACTATTATAAGTAAATTTAACTACAATTCATAAGACTTTTTGCGAAAGTTCTGTTTTGAACATTGCTATTGAAATGTTTTGGTAAACAGTCATTAAAATTCCATAAAAAAGAAAAAACTACTAATGTTATAAGGTCAAACAAAAAACATTGTTAAGAATGATCAATACATATCATTTTAAATTTAGAAAAAGTTATTTCTGTCTATGTAGCGTGCGACAGTCGTAGGTTTTTGTGATTAGAGAATTGCCAATTGTCCTGAATTTATATCAAATCAATAAATAACTGCAAAATGTGGCAAAGTCTTAAGTCTTTGAGAATACTCTTCTCTCCGAACAGTATTCACGATCCATTTCAAATGGGCCATAACATTTGTGAAAACAGTGGCCTTGCTGCAGTCCGTGTGTCCAAAGCTGACAATTCCGAACAGAATTGTAGTATCTTCGTGATCATATCTAACCTTGGCGGTCAGAGGACCTCCGGAATCGCCGTTACATACGCTGACGCTAGCACGTTCAGCGCAGATGTGATCTCTACTGATCACATGATTCGGATATTGCCGGTAACAGTTCGATCGGCCGATATTGTAGAGCGAAGTTGTCTGTAGCTCATGACTGTATCTATGTTCTGTTGATTGGGTCAGACCCCATCCGGAGATTCTAAACTTGATGATGTGGTCGTCCAGGTTTCTGAAAAGTGGGTCCAGGAGCAAACAAATCGGTCTGATGTGCTCTGTGAAGTCACCTATTAGTTAGTGTTTTAGTTTTGATATATTTAGTTTAGTATATTACTCGTAAACTGCACTCTGGTGGCCAATCTCAACAGAGATATGTCGTGTCTCTCCGCTGAATATTCACTGTGGATATACGTTGCATCGACAGTAAACTCTTCACCTAGGAATGGGCACTTCGAGCCTATACAATTTTGCAATGTTGATAGCCTATTTTCGCCCAATCGTACCACTCTACGAAGTCAAGAAGTGGTATATATCATCATTGGAATCAGAAATATATAACTACTCACAGGTGGCCGCTTCCCGTGCAATGCGCTGCCGTCAGGACAAAACCTGAAATCTGATGATGAGTCATAGTTTTTTAGTTTGACTCAATATACTCACGATTTGTGATCAGTGAGCCGCCGCACTTGAAACCATCCTCAGCTATGATCGCGGCCATCCAGGGAGCGCTGTTTGCAGAGGCATCATGACCCCCACCTAACCGAAAGTTAACCTTAATCGGAATACAGGACCTGTCTAGAAAGTTGGTAGCTACTTGCCCCTGTACTGTAAGTAATAAGCAGGCAAGTAGGACCACCAGTATAGAGTTCTCAGCAATCTTCATATCCAAGCAGCGTGGATCAACTGATCGTTGACCGGGGTGTTTAGCTGCTACTTACCCTTGATTTAAAAAAAAACCCAGACGATAAGACATTTCTTGTTATAATATGCGTGAGAGCTATGACTTTATGTAGCTTTTCTTATCGCTATAATAAAGTTTAAGCAAAGAAAACAGTGAAATATTATATTTTCTAGATGAACTTTATTCCTGCTTGAATGGGAAGCGGAGGTATATAAATCTATCGAACCATTATAGAGCCTAAAATTGGAAATCAACCAACGGCATACCAGGGTAATACGATCCTTGGGGTGGGAGTGGGCGTTGTGGGGCCTGAGGACCTCCCTGTCTTACGACCTCCAAGATCCAGTTCATGTGGTGCATAACATTCGTGTAGACCTCCCATCGCCTGCATTCACTGTCTCCATAGCTGACAATTCCCATCTGAACCACACGGCTTGTACTGCCAATTGGTAGCGTGGCAAAGATTGGTCCTCCAGAGTCACCCATGCATGTATGTGAGAAAGGGTCTCCGGCGCAAATGTGGGACATGTCCACAACGCTTCCGTATGTGGCCGAGCAATAGGAGCGATCCACTTGCGTCAAGGTGGCTGTCTTCAAGACGTTGCTAGGCACTCCGTGTTCTGTGGTACCCCATCCAATGGCAGATAGCCAACTGATGTGGGCCAAAGGATTGTAGTTGGTCAGCAGACAGATTGGCTTGATGTATGCTGCAGAGGGAGAGCCAGTTACTGAGGTCCAGTACTGAGGTCCTTGCAGGATTGCCCATCAACTCACCCGAATACTGCACCGGAGTGGCCAGTCGAAACAGAGCTATGTCATTCTGGGAATGATGCACATATCTGGGATGAGCTATTTGAGCATCGACAGGAATTCCGATGGCATTCGGCATGCAAGCTGTTGTGGAGCAATCGGTGATGGTTGATCTGTCAAACTCGCCCAGGTACACCACCCTACAATGGAATGTTGGCATCACTAAGGGACTGGGAATATATCCAAGAATACTCACGTATAGCTGTTACTTCTGCAGTGTGCAGCACTAAGCACGAAACCTGTCAATAACCAAATATTTATTTGGCTTTACTATTTTGCCTTTATATTCACTTACGGTTTGTAATGAGCGAACCGCCACACATAGTGCTACTGCTTATTAAAGCCATCCATGGATTAGCAAACATGTCTGCCACCTGACCCTGCACTATCCTGGCACTCATAGTACTAGACCCAGAGATCGAAACTCCGCAGTCAGGATCCAGGAATGATACCGATACTTGTCCACTTCCAAAGTGGATCAAAATATGCAGGATAATAACAGCTGTGGCGATCTTCATGTCAAAGCCCGCACTAAAAGATTGTTGGGCCAACCTGAGGCTTTGTTATTTTGCTATACTGGGAGATACGACGCGAAACACAAAAATACATATAAAAAAAATATATATATAAAACGCAGGGTTTTTTTTTAATTTTTTAAAGAAATTTTTATTAGATGTTTTGGGTTTTTCACTAAGTGTTAACGGCGGTCTTCATGTCAAAGGCCGCTCTAATAGATTGACTGGCCAGAGTCCGTTGCTGTTTAATTTTGCACATATTTGTTTCGTTGCTTATATTGTCTTCTTTTGGAGATAAGAATCGGAACGCAAAAATAAGTACTTAAAAATTCGATTCAAAAGGCAAAAGTCGGGCTTTTCCAAGACTGTTATCAAGTGTACAATACATTTTTAATAATGCGATTGTGTCGCGAGGGTTTTTCTTGTATTAACTAAATTTTTGCATAGTACATTTTTCTTAGTTTTAAATTAGCAGGAACCATTCTAAGATATTTTTAAATATTTTTAGAACTTAAGCCTGCTAACATCATGTATTTAAATATATTATATTTTTTGTGAAGTCATATATTCTTAAGGTACTCGCTATTGAAATCTCTTCTAAGGGTGGAATATTCGTTGGATAACGAGTAAGGGGAAATTAGGAGCCACTATGTCTACGAATTCCCCCTTTTTAAATTAATTTTTGCATATTATTTATTTTATAGTTTAAAACCAGCTGGAACCATTTAGGGATAACTTTAAATTGTATTTTACTTTAAATTTTGTGGATAAAGTGCCACGTAGCATATAAGTCATAAGGACTTCATACTCGCTACTTGAATCTTAGCTGAGGATGGGATATTCGCTGGGTAACGAACGAGGGGAAATAGAGACCCACTATTTCCACAAATTCCCCCTATTCTTCAACCTTTGCTTGTGTGGATGCTGAGCAATCGTTTCTTCGGAAATTCGTATGCACACAAAGAGAGGTAAGATCAATTGGTGTGTGGGTTTGGACTTGGGTTTGGGCCTGGTGTTTGCCAGCATCTCACTCTCCGATCTCTCTTGTTTTCTCGCTGGCTGATTCGAAGCTTCGGTAACGACCAACGGCTAAACCGGTTTAAGTTCGAAACTCTGACTGCACACACTCAGAAAAACACACAAATCAAAAGGAGAGAAAACAACAACAACAGCAACCAGAACATCAGAAATAATCATTTTCATTTGAAATAAGCAAATGAGCCGCAAAAAATGAATAGCATTGGAATTTGAATATTCGAATTGGAATGTCCGAACTTCGAACTACAGCTAAAGAGATACGATACGAAATTAATTTTCATCTAATTATAAGTGCTTTGTTTGTATCCGAAGTGTGACAAGCAGACAAAATTCAGCGATACTTTTATAAATGAGGTTTTTATGGCTTTGTTCTGAGTCGCCTTAAAAGCCAACCGATCGTTTACGTTTACTAACTGCCTAAATGATGGGAAGAATCTAAACAGTTGCCTATAGGCTCTAAATGACTGTTGAAATTTCTTAGGTCACGCAGACCATAGCTATGTTCATGTTTGACTAGAGGATGGTGCTTATATTGTATATCAGAACATATATGTACATAAATATAACAATCCTTTAATTTAATACAAGTTAAAGATAAAACAATAGATAGTATTAACATTTATTTCGTTTTAATAATCACGAAGAAACAATATAAGTTTTATATAAGACTTAAACATTTATTTCGCTTTAATGATTAATATTTTAATTAGAGAACTTTCACATTTTCCTTTAAATAGTTTTAATTTTCATAAAAAAT